ATAGCGTTTTGACACTTCCACAATTTCGGGATAATGCAGCGTAACTGACACAATTTTCAATACCTAACTGAGATTTTAAGAAAATCGAACAGTTTGAAAAATTTTCTTAAATTAAACTTGAATAATACGTTCTAGACTTACACTGAACGATCCACAAACAACACAGTTCAAAGATTTGTATGATAGGTAACTATTTTTCAGTCTTTTTCAAAGACAAGAATAAAAAATATTCCTCTTACTTGTGAATGTACACACTGTTTCCTATAGTACCTACAGCAATTAGTCATTTAGCCATTGTATAGACCCGTCATTACCGTAATCTAAAATGTCATACACACTTCCCTACACATACAGTAACAAGAAAATTTCCAAACTTTATTAAACGTATTTATTCGAATCTCCTTAATAAATTTATGATCTAGAGCTAGTTCGAAATCTCATGACCCTCCACATGCGCGAGAAAGGTAGGTATCTTATTGAATTCACCTGGTGCACTAGAAAAGATTGACTCGATTTTTATCTGAGATACACCTCGCCAAGTAGGTAAACTGTAAGCAATGGAGATCAATGTTTCTCACAACCGAAGTCCAAGGTTCATGAAATTCTCAACAACCTCTACTCGTGTACTTTAATCGAGACAGAGCTGAAAAACTATTAGAATCAAGGAAACCAACATAAAACACTTACTTATTCGACGAAACGTGATACTTATTGCGGCCAATATTTCAAAGGTAATTAGGGGAAGGCATTAAAATAGAGACGGTTGACATTTTTAAATCAATTTCAGTGTCCGAAGCACCCTGTATGGTGAAATAATTACGTCGTTGCTGTGCTAGCGACAAGTGAGTCGATCAAACCACGACGTCGCTACCGTTGGGTTTGGGTGTCATTTACGGCTTTTTATGAAAAATGTGCCGACGTAGATGGAAATGTATCGTTTGTCACTTTCAGACCAAGAAAAACAGAAACCAGCCTCAACTACAGATTTCTCCTTTTAGACGTCAAATAAAAGGAGTACATATAACCAGAGATCATCTCTAATACATACCTGTTTGATATATGTACGGGTGCATAACAAAATTAGACATTCTATAAAGTCATGAGGCTTTTGAAGAATGACTGGGCAAATTGTAAAACGTACAAACAAGTAACAGACCAGCGACTGCAAAATTGGCCCATTTTCTCACCCGCAAATTTCGTTTTAAACTAACAACTGCTAAATGAGTATTTATTAATGACGTCATCTTCTAACAGCCACGGCGTTTTTGATAAAGTGCTTAATTTTACCAATATCTCAACCGGATACTTCTAAGCATTCCTAATATATCATTATATAAGTGTTCCACTTTTCATTGGGATGCATTATTTACTTTACTAATTCAACAGAATTTTCTATTAAACCAATTTTTTATTATCAATAAATGTTTTTGTTTTCCCGGAAGCGATATTATTCGATTTTATCTGCATATTTATTTATTTATGATGTATATATGAATATAAACATGCATATAAGCGGATTAATTTGGAATTTTACGAAATGCATTTTACGTATGAAAATAATAATGGATGACAGATCAAGTAAACTAAATATTGCATAATACCTAATATTGGATATCTACTGTTATTAAATTTATTTCGTTAATTTCAACTACATGTAATACTAATGATTTCAAATGCGTATGAAACGGAATTAAAAAGCGGAATTATCCATTTAAACCTCAATTTTAGATAGTATTTTGAACATATTACGTTTTTGTCAGCATCAAAACAGTTCTAAAAATCCATCCGAATTTATTTTCAATAATTTTTTTTTCATAAAAATTTTTCAATACGGTAAAAAAAGTGAAGAAAAGGGGTTGGATTAACTAAAATAGTACAGAGAAAGATGAAAAAAAAAGGAGGAAGACCACTTTGGGTTTAGAATAAATAGAGGAACGCGGGAGGCCATTCTATTTTTACGGGTAACAACAGAGAAAACGATAGAAAAAGCAAAGAGCGCGTACATAGGATTTGTAGATTTAGGACAATGTTAAATTGGATAAGATGTTAAATATACTTAAAAATATAGGGATACAGAGACAGTAGTGACTGATCTTCGGTATCTATTAAGAAGTCAGATAATTCAGGATCGAAAAAGCAGTAGAAATATAAAACAGAGGCTAGCGCAGGGTCGAGTCGCCTTCAATAAAAAGAATCCATTTCTATGCTCACGAACGGTTAATTTAGAAATTCAAAAATAACTGATAAAGTGTATGTCTAGAGTGCGGCGCTACATGGGTGCGAAACATAGACGGTAGGCGCGGCGGAAAGGAAAAAGTTAGAAATGAGGTATTAAAAAGAATAGGAGGCCAGAGGTCACTATGGAGAAGGTGAAATAGGTTGATAGGGCACCTTCTCAGGCATGAAGGGCTAGTCAGAGAAATATTAGAAGCAAAAATAAGAGTTAAGAGGAGTAGAGGTAAACTTACATTAGGTTACTGTTCACAAATAGTTAAGGATGTTGGATGTTATAGCTTTAAAAAAAAAGGCGAAGATTAGCTCAGAATAAGAGTGGAGGTGCGTGTCCGACCAGTCTTAGGACTGACAATCTTATGATGATGATGAATCAAGAATTTCTGATTTAAGAATACCTATTTTTTTTTGAGAATGAAAGCATCTAAATTAAGAATAAATAATTATTCTTCATTCAAAAATATAAATTATTATCAAGAATAAAATTAGTGTGTAGCACAATTGAACTGTACGAATAAATGGTGAAATTTCAAACCGTCACCGTCGTGAGTAGTATAACACAAAGGTTTAGGTACTTATCGTTAATGGTAAATTATCTGGATAATGCTTCAATGAACACACTATGACTAAAGTGTACAATAGCCCAAACGCGTTCCTAACACTTTCACATAAAGTTTTTGTTCACCTCGTTGCTTTTCTGATATAAAAGGTCTTTTCTAGCTGCTACTTCCAAGAGAACTCGTCTTTAATTAATTGATAAGTAACAGCATTGCGCCTGTACAAGACACAAGAGCAAGCGGCAAACATTTTGTTCTTCGTTTCCTTCAGGGTTACAACGTGTTCTTTGTCCATGAAAATAATACATCAATTTTATAGAATAAGTGACTATACCTAAAGCCCTTGGTAGGAGAAATTTAAGTACGTTCACCAGGTCATGGAAAATATAAGTTGATACTCTCTTTAATTTTGTTATAAGAATATAAAACGAACACATACCTAGACATAATAAAATATCACACATGTACACGACTGCGCTCCCTAAGTATTTGCAAATTTCAATATAATTACACAAAAACCAATAAAAAGAGAGCACTGAAATAATTTTAATTGAAAGTACTTCCTGAATTCCATCGATAGGTTTGTCTTTAAATAGCAAAGAGTAGACACATTGTAAACGACATTAGAGGACGTAAAACGAAGAAAAATTGTTGTAATAAGACCGCTTTCACACTCGGTCACTTGCTGGCGACACTAGAAGCGGTAACGCATAGCTCATAGCGACGACTAGACGCTATTTCAAGATGGTGTCTCCAGATTTCGAAGATGATTTCAAGGGTGATTATGTAAAAAAGTGTACAGAATTTGATGGTGTCTTTAAAATAGGGAAACTGGTGTAGCCGCAAAAAAGCGCACGTTAAATTACGATTATATGAAAACAACCTACTCAACTATAAAAAAGGTGATTATGTAAAAATATGCGTAGAAGTGAATGGTGCCTACAGATTACGAGTATGACTTCAAATAAGGCCGCTACCGAATTATTCATGGTTAAAATAGCGAAAACGGTGTATACGTAAAAACGCGCACGTTAAATTGTATGAAAACAATCTACCGAACTATAAAAGAGGGAGGTTATATAGTGGTGCTGAATTATTTATGGTTAAAACAGGGAAAACCATATAGACATAAAAAAGCGCACGTTAAATTACCATTAGATGAAAACTTGATTATAAAAGGGGATGATTATGCTGAAAAGTGTGTAGAATCAGTGCATTTAGATTTGCGTTGTCGCAACACACTTAATGCTTTAAAAATCAAACTGTTTATTTCTCCCTGCAGTTATCGTCGATCTAGAATGATAGAAATACTTATTTCAGAAATATCTTGTAGACTAAGTGTAATCTGCGCTATAAGGATCGAATTTTGAAAATTATTTGAACAATGATAACAAAAATCACGTATTGCTTCAACTATACGTATAATTGAATGTAGTTGGAGTCATTGTGGTATATTGACGAAAGGCATTTTCATCTACCCGTAACTGCGGGTACAGATGATCAAGTTCTCCAAAATGCAATCTCTATAAATTTCATGTTTACTTTACCTCTTCTTTTTAGTTTTCATTAAAATTTTCAGTTTCATGATAACACTATGCCGCAACTGTTGCATTATTTTTAGATGGGTTAAGTGCAAGGTTTCTTTTACAGATACACTTGGTGCCGTGTATAGTACTAATACATTGTTTTATTATGCACACATCCCGTTTGTTCACACGGCAAAGATTGTAATCAGAATCGTTTTTCTCTCTGAATTGTGCAGTTAGACCGAAGAAATTATACAGTATATCGAAATAACGGTTATTGAAATAGATAATGAGTTGCTAATTACACTTTTTGAACAATTTGGAGCTATAAAATAATGTTACAAATTCGCTTATCACTTGTCTGTTTTCGAGTAGCGGAAGAATCCAAAATCTTCTTGTTTTTTGTGTTTTTCTGCGATTATGCCATACCATTATTAACAACATGCATCAAAACAAAACTAAACCTTGTGAAATTACGGCACGGCTACGACACGGTTACCGTTAGAAAACCGTTTGTGTGAAAGAAGCGTTTAATCTCGTGTTTACCTAGGACACGGCGTTAGCTGCTACTGCTTCTAGTGCGATGACGACCATTGGGCGAGTGTGCAAGCAGCCTTATACAAATTTGCCTTCGAGATGGTTCTATAAAATACTTTCCTAATAAACAGTGAATAAGGTTTCTTACCTAGGCGGTTGTAATGTGTTCTCGACCCTGAAAATAGAAAAAATCATTGTACTTTAGATAGCGGTATGGTAAAAGAAATTAAACACAAGCCTTAGGAAAAAAATACAGCACTCCCCACACCCCGGTGGTGTGGGGGCTCGCCTTCGGCTCGGGTGGTAGTTCACGCCCGAGAGGCAATGCCGAATTTTATTCCTTTTGGTGCATAATTTTATATTCAATAAAACATATATTTTTATATCATTAGGGATGAAATTTCTATGTGTATGTCATTACGACAGGTAGGAGAATTCATTAAGTCAAAATGTAAATTCAACCACTCCGAAATTGAGTGTGTCAATTCGGCAGGAAAAATTGTTTATTGGAGAAAACCTTCTACATACTGCTTTAAGTATTAGTTGCTAAAGAGAAAGGAATATTAAACTACAAAAAACAAAACCTTGTCGAAGAAAGTAGCAATTTCATTTAGTAATATGATTATCATACACACCTATATGTATATGCATGCATTATCATGTAGGTATCTTTAATAAAATACAGTTTTTTTTGCTTGTACATTTTAAAAACATTTACAATAGAAATTATGTGATGTAATTTCAGATAATTTAAAATATTAATTGTTCCGTTGTCACCAGTAAATTAACTATTAAAGAGAACCTACTTTTACTGCAAGGGGTTGTTATTACATACATAAAACATACAACATTCTGATCATCAGCGTTTGTCACTTAAGATGTTGTTTTTAATTTCTACGTCTACGTAGCCATAAACCGGCATTACTAAGTGTAAAAGTGTAGAAGTTAATACAGGGATGTGGCACATTAGGGTGGGAGAATAGCCTGAATCAAACTGTAAATTTTTTATTTTTCTATTTGAGGATTTGCAAAGATGTACAACAATAATTTTTCAAAACAAGAATCACTTTCATACTAGAGAACCTTATTGTTTTATAACGGAAGGCAATTAATCTGAAGTTAGATAATGATTAAAAATTCATGGAAAAAGGTGTAATTTAATTAATTCAAAGTTTGTAATACTCAAAATTTTTCTGTCTGCCTCCATTTTACAAAACAAGTAAAAGATTATTTTATATCAAGCGTTAGAGAAAAAAGATAAAAAATGGTAATGAATAATGAAGAGTTTCTGTCCTAAAAGCTGTTCTTTAACACGAGACGAGCCTTTTCCTTTATTTGGTATTCAAAATTCCTGATTTCAATTTTTTTAAAGTTACCACTGCTATAAATAAGTATCGCCGTACGTATAATACGTTTTAAATACAAATATACACGTTTCTTCTTTGGCTGTTTGCTTTGCCAGCCATGTATAATTAGTCTGATTCCTACATTAGGCAAGGGTCAGATGTAATATGTCGTATTGTAAGCGAGGTGAAGTTGTTTTTTTTCTTTTTGTCGATTCGAAAGCCAAAGCGGGGCTTTCGTTGGAAATAATTTTTTTGCGAGAGCCAGTGATAAATCCTAAGGAGAATGCATTAAATCTGGTGTTCCACGTAGAGCACCAGATATAAAATTCAAGCGCCAACATTATTTATGACATATGCGGGCACATTTATAGCACCTCTTTTACTGTGGCCGAAATTATCAAATATAATTGTAAAATCTCAGTATTCATTTGAATTTAAATTAATCGCAGCTAGCTCGTTAGTCATCCGTTACTGAGTATGTCATCGTAGCCCCTCAATAAATTAAACAAGTACGAAATAAAAATCAATATTTTACAGTTTATGCGCGTACTCAAAAAAACTTTTAATGCAAATAAAATGAAACTGGAGAAAGCATATTCCAATTTTGACTATTACTACAACTACGATTATAGGTATCTAGAAAGTCAGGACGGAAGTAGTAGTAGAGATATAAAGCACACAATAGCGTAGGGTCGAGCCGCCTTCAATAAAAAGAAGTCACTTCTATACTCGCGAACGATGAATTTAGAAATTCGAAAAAGATTGTTAAAGGTGTATGTTTGGAGCGCGGCGCTATACAGGTGCGAAGTATGGGCAGTGAGCGCGGCGTAAAAGAAACGTTCGAACTGTGGCGTTACAGGCGAATGATGAGGATACCGTGGATAGAGAAGGTTAAAAATGAAGAGGTATTAGAAAGAATAGGAGAACAGAGGACTCTATAGAAATCAATAAGAAATATGCGAGATAGGTTAGTAGGACACCTTCTCAGGCATGAAGGTCTAGTCAGAGACATATTAGAGGCAGAAACAGGAGTTAGGAGGGGTATAAGTAGACCTAGATTAGATCACTGTTCGCAAATAGTTAAGGATGCGAGTTGTTCTAGTTTTAGGGAAATGTGAAGTTTAGCTCAGGAGGTGCGTGTCCAACCAGTCTTGGGGTTGAAGACCTTATGATAACGATTTTACTACAACAGATGATCAATATCTATTACTTTGTATACTTTCTTTTATCGATTAATCCGAGTTTTTAATTGAAAACAAACAATTTCTAAGAACTGACAAGTACATTCAAACCAGGTAAACTATACTCAGTCAGAAATAATATATCGACTACCTAAACACTAATAAATACCTCATAAAATTATTTATTAGTGATAAATTTGCTATTATTATTACCGTAGTCTGTTCAAGTTTTAATGAACCGGAATATAGAAATATGCGGGTTTATGCATGAAGTTTATAGATAAATAAGTAATTATGCAGGTATATCTATTTCGTTTTGGTCCGTTATCAATGAATATACAATGGAATTTTCAACAATGTCATACGTATATACTGCATATATCAAAGCAATTATCTTCCCAGTTACAGGACTAGCTGAAATATTAGTCCAGTTTTTGCGCCCGGTGATGTTAAAAATTAACACAGTAATGTTGTCAATTGGTTAACATTTTAAAAGCCGTTGACACAATTCCCATCGACCGTAAAAATATACCGCCAATAGCACCGAATTCTGTCCGTCACAGACACTAAATCTTATTAATTACACTAATTACAAAGTGGGAAAAGTTGCGCTACGATAACCGGAAAAATACAAAACTCAAATGTCACTATCAACTAAAATTATACTTATATATAAATAAATAAATAACAAGTTTAAAAATGTTTTCAATTCAATTTTAGATTTAATGTTAGAAGCACTAGAAGGTTTCATATAAAAGCGGCTTTTTGCCCTTTTGTCAAATTATACTGTAACTTTTTGTAGAAGGGCATTAACGGTGGCGGAGATAGAAGGAGATGTAAACTGCGTGACAAATCCAATATGTTTACTTAACTGGAAACTTCTGGGGAATATTTGTCTAGAAATGCGGGATTGCTTTGAAATGAACAGTATTACAGAAGATTAGCGAACATCCTGCAGTGATAGATGGGGAAATCTTACTTTTTTTTATATACAGAAATAGATAAATCACTCGTAATCGCACGACAAAAACAAATTCCACATTGTTCTTAAGTGTTTTATAAACAACATGATACCCCTAAATAACTTCTCGGTAATTTAATTATCCTGTCAGAAACAACCCAAGAATTTTGATAGATTTCTTTCTCGAAAAAAGGAAGCAGGTACCTACTCGAAAGCTTTTAAGACGCGTTCACTCAGTTAAAAATGTTGAACACTCTGTATACTTAAGTGTCGGCCGCACAAAATAAACCAATATTCATACTTATTCTGAGAAATACTCATAGACAGCACTCATAAGTTTCATACATATCGTCAATAAGTTTCCGTAGCCCACAAGGAACTTTTATAGTCTCTCTGTACTACATCATAATAACTTAACTTATTAAAAGTGAAGACGTCAAATGCAGAGCCAAAAACAGAAATGACAACATCTAAAGTGGAAAATGTATCTACTCACTCGCTACGCAAGACTTTTTTCATATACTCCACTGAGTGAGGTGATAGGTCACCTAAAATGCTACAAAAAATGCTCGAAAACGTTTTGATTGAAATTCTTCTATTTCTTTCGAAATTGTTATCGTCTCTGATTTTCTAACTATTCTTGGATATTGTTAAGTTATTGCTTTCAATAAAAATTATACCGAATGCGAAAATTTTAGGAATAATTTTTTTTTAACTGCCTATTCCTGTCATTTTCAAATAAGATTATCATAAAAATTTATATAGATCTTCGACCTTTTACTAAAATTATTCAATTAGAAATACTTCAGTATACTATATTAATTTTTCAGTAATTAGAGTAAAATTCGTATGGCCCTATCCTATTGTATGATTAAGTTTTTTAGTTGCTAACTTTTGCTGGCGCTTGACATATTTTTCATTTCCTTATTTCTTCTCTTCATTAAACATTTTGAGTAGGTCGTCTTTACGAGTTGTTGTACACAATTCTTTTGTACGTACAACGGCCCTGACCCCACGATTGCTCCTTATAGTACTTTTCCTTCTTTTGCTTACACAAGACAACGATTGCCGCTATATGTCGTAGCAATTGAAAGCCGGAGGAAAACTTCCTGCTTTATTTTTCTAATTCTTTCAGTTGGCACATATCCTTAATACAAACTTAAGGAACTGCAACAAAATCTCTTTTTCCATTTTAAAGCGTTAAGATTTAATTAAAACCTAACATTTTAGCACTGATGACCAGGATTGTTTCGCTTTAAAAGGTAAAATCTAAAAGCAACTCAACTGTTGATGAATAATAACACAGACCAGAACTACAAAAATTACGGTCTTGGATCTTGGTCTTGCACGATCCGATTTGGTCTTGATCTTCCTTAACGTATCTTCGATCTTGGTCTTGGTTTTGCTCGAATTTAGTTGGTCTTGATCAGTATCCTCGATGTAATAGTTGGTGTTGTAGACGAAACTTGCTTGATACTTTTTAATTTTTTATTATTGAAAATTAATAATCATTATTTTTTTACACCATGCAACTTATAAATAATGTTTGAAAAAAAAAAACAAAAATGAAAATCATAAACATTCATTTGTATAAAGAAGTCATACTTTTGCAACGGTTTTGTTCTTGGCGAAGCTTTCCAGACATGGAGTCACTCCTGGCTTTGGTCCTGCACATTAAGTCTTAATTTTGGTCTAGTTAATGCAAGTGCGGTATTAGTCTTGATTCTGTGCCTTCGACAAAATCAAAACCAATGCCGATCTTGATCAACAGCAAAGTTAACGGTTGAACAGCTTAAAATGTATTGACAAATATTTCTAAACTTTGTATTTAATAACTGCTGTTATTAAATGTATTATATGGATGTTTGCAATACCTCACAGTCTATTTATTTCAAAGTTGATCTAATTAATTTACCCCCAAATGGCGGTAGTTGTATAGGGAAGTTTTTCCTCTCGACAAAATGCACATCGGGCTTTTTAAACAAAGCGTAACAGTGACAATATGCTGTACGAAAAAGTAGCAGCTGGCTATTTTACCAGCGTATGCGCTAATTTCTTATACAATGACGTACTTTATGACTTTCAGGTAGCATGTAGGTACATTAATAAAGGCACCAAATGTGACTTCGCAGTTAATGGTTAATATTACCAAAATGTACGGTCATTCCCATTTTAGGACTTTTATACTCCACGTATTCAAATTGTAACGAATTTCAAACAAGGATCAGGGAATTAGCCGCCGTCTCTATCGCTTACACTCTTTCATTTCAAATAAGCCTTATCAGTACGAATTTTAATATGACAATGTTGCATGTCAGTTTTTCTAATTAGAACACGTTCAAAAATAAAATAATTAAACATTTTCTTTTTTCCTGAAAATCTAAAAATAACACACACAAACGAGTATGCATCACGCGTCTTTTCTAAAATTGGAACACTTCTTGACCATGGCACGCTAGTTGTACACATCTACGTGAAAATGCACAGGGTATATGTATCAGGTATTACATAACGACCTACATAGGTGATATTATAACATTGCGTGACTATTCCTCGAACGTACATACGTATTTTAAATCGCAATAACTTAATAATGTACTTTGTCTGTCCGCTGATTTAAACTCACATTTTTTTTTCTACTGACGAATTAAGTCTATATTTCATGACGTGATTTTACAATAATCAGAAATAATATAATGCTGGAATTCGTTCTATATCTTAAAATTAAAAACAGACTTCTACGAAAGAATATACAACGAGTCCTTCATCTGTTTGTCGTAGTACAATATATTCATTATCATCATAAGATCGTCAGTCCTAAGACTGGTTGGACACGTACCTCCACTATTTTCTATCCTGAGTTAATCTTCGCATTTTCCTAAAACTAGAACAACCCACATCCTTAACTATTTACGAACAGTAATCTAATCTAGGTCTACCTTTACCCCTCCTAACTTCCGTATCTGCCTCTAATATGTCTCTGAATAGACCTTCATGCCTGAGAAGGTGTCCTACTAACCTATCTCGCCTATTTCTTATTGACTTCCATAGAGTCCTGTGTTCTCCTATTCTTTCCAATACCTCTTCATTTCTAACCTTTTCTACCCACAATATCCTCATCATCCGCCTATAACACCACATTTCGAACGCTTCCCTTTTTTTTCCGCCACGCCCATTGTCCATGTTTCGCACCCATACAGCGTCGCGCTCCAAACATTCACTTTAAAAAACCTTTTGCGAATTTCTAAATTAACCTATCTTTTGTCTCCTCCTAATAAATACTGACTACTTTTTATTAATCGTATTTTCCTGGTTTATATGACATATCGTTGGAAACCGGCTACTTCTAACAAATCAAAAGTATTTTTTTATAACTTTCCTAATATCTTAAATAATATAAGCATACATATAATATCCTCATTTACCGTCTACTACAACTACGATAAATTACGAATACAGCACGCTCTAATGAAGTCATCGTCATCATCATAGGGTCGTCAGTCCTAAGACTGGTTGGACACGCACCTCCACTCTTTCCTATCCTGAGCTAAACTTCGCATTTCCCTAAAACTAGAACAACTCACATCTTTAATTATTTGCGAACAGTAATCTAATCTAGGTCCACCTCTAATATATCTCTGACTAGACCATCATGCCTTCATAGGAAAATTATATCAACGATTATTTTGCAGTTTTCGTTTTCCGAAACGTGCCAACTTCTGCCAGCAGCAAACATTGAAAATTTAGGTTTTTAGAATGGAATAGCATTGTAAGTTGGCAGAGTCAACGTTTAGGTTTATATTGAATTTTCAGAGTGGAAATAAAAAACGTATAGGTATAGGTACCTGTGTATTGGATTAGCCGGTTATGAAGCTCTATTTGCATACTAACGGAATGCCTATTTGCATTCTACCCTTTTTCCAGATAAAAACTCAGCGCTGTTTAATAATATGCACGATTTCATCACGAAATGCAAAACGCCCGTTAAACTAATATATTGTAACCTTTCATGCACTGTTGACCAAAAAGGAAATAAATGGAAAAGGAACAAAGTAAGTCCATACCAATCCTAATTTTACCAGCAACAGAAACAAAACAAATATAATTTTTGAACGGCAGACTAAAACGGAAAAAAAGAACATTTATAAAAACATAACCGATTAATTATTATTAAGACGGTAATTTCATTTAAATTTTGATAAAGTAAAAGTAGTAGAAGACAGACATGGACAAAAACGGGATTGTCTGTAAGCCAAATTTATCTGTAAATCTCAAAACGTCAGTTAGATTTAACCTTTTTTTACTTTCCTTTATACCCCCATTCGTAAACCTTCAGGCTTACCCTAAAACGGACAAAATTCTCCAAATTCGTAGTAAAGCAGAAACAGCTTAACGTTCTCGGAGAGAATATAGCAAAGTTTAGAAGTTTATTACGATTACAATATCCCGGCGTAACGCCATCGAATTAGTACATTCAAATTCACAGGCAATACGTACAATTTCGATCTAAACCATGAGACTGCGTTCTTCATCTTATCTCAAAATACAACCCATAGGCGCAACGCAATTTCTCGGTAAACATTTCGTAAAATAAAGCAGTGAGTTTCGTGATTACTGAAGCGATTAAAAAGACTATCGCGTAAAACGAAGCTTCCATTTCAAAATTACTAATCAATTTTTAAATGCGCATTCAGAATTTAGTCCGGTTCGGTGAAGAAAATATGAAAACTGGCTTTTTATCGAAAATGCACAATGCAAAACCGAAAACAAAAACCAATACCGACAACTGTAAATTCTAGCATCATCAAATTACCTTAAACCAAGTCGCGCAAAATGGATCAAACCCGATATTCTGAAAAGAATAAAGCCGATGGATTACGCCCGAATCACGCTACTGATGGAATCTACGTAAAGTTTTATTGTGAGCAACATAGTTTCATGTTAAATAGTAAAAATACTTCCTTATCTGCCATTTGGTTAACTGTGATATTCTCAAATAAAAATGAAATTTAAAATCAATAAAGGAGACAGAGCAACAGGCAGTTATAGAGCTGGGGATGCAACGTAGAGAAGTAAATATTAGGAAGGGAGTCAGGCAGGGATGCACACTGTCACTGCTACTTTTTAATCTATACATCGAAGACGCCATCAACATCATTAAAGACAGTACAACTGTAGGGATAGATGTGCAAGGGCAAAAGATTAGTATGCTTAGATTTGCAGATGATATAGCAGTATTAGCATCTAGGAAGGAGGACCTAGAGATAGCTTTAAATAAAATGGAAGCGGTACTGACAGATCAGTACTGTATGAAAATAAATAAAAGCAAAACTAAAATACTGATATGCAAGGGAAGAAAAAGTAGGGAAAGAGCGAATATAAAGATAGGAGACGAAAAATTAGAAGAAGTGGCTGATTTTAGATACCTAGGAAGTCAGATAAGTGAGGATGGAAGGAGTAGTAGGGATATAAAGCAGAGGATAGCGCAGGGTCGTGTCGCCTTTAATAAAAAGAAGTCACTTCTATGCTCGCGAACGGTTAATTTAGAAATTCGAAAAAGGTTGTTAAAGGTGTATGTTTGGAGCACGGCGTTGTACGGGTGCGAAACATGGACAGTGGGAGCGGCGGAAAAGAAAAGGTTAGAAGCGTTCGAAATGTGGTGTTATAGGCGGATGATGAGGATATCGTGGGTAAAAAAGGTTAGAAATGAAGAGGTATTGGAAAGAATAGGAGAACAGAGGACTCTATGGAAGTCAATAAACAATAGGCGAGATAGGTTGGTAGGACACCTTCTTAGGCATGAAGGTCTAGTCAGAGACATATTAGAAGCAGAAACAGGAGTTAGGAGGGGTAGAGGTAGACCTAGATTAGATTACTGTTCGCAAATAGTGAAGGATGTGGGTTGTTCTAGTTTTAGGGAAATGCGAAGTTTAGCTCGGGATAGGAAAGAGTGGAGGTACGTGTCCAACCAGTCTTAGGACTGATGACCTTATGATGATGATGATGATGAAAGGAGATAGATTTTGGTAATATGTTCTAAACGTGTAAAATTATCATATTTTCAAAAAATAGTTACTAATGTCCAAACTTTCATAAAAAATGAAATTAGTATAAGGAACATCAAGCTTAAAAACTAATCTAGGAGACTGGCAAGCTTTCAAAAGCTCAAAACCCCAACGCCAAAACACGATACTAAACGTGCCGAAAAAATTGTCCTGTCTTGGCGTTGGAATTTTCAGCTTTTTAGTATAAAAAACAAAAAAATTCGACTGTAAATGGCAGTAGCAAAACCAAAACTAAGACAAAGTGTAAGAACAAAAGTAAATGTGTGAAATCAAGACTACGATACGCGTTTGCGTTTATGTTTTATTTTTACAATTCTTATAACGAAACTATTTCCTACAATACGTGGTACTTTAACAAATCACAAATGCCTACACATATGAAAGAATAACTGCCGGAGCTGAAGTTCGATGCAATGCCTTTAACAAAAGTAAAAATATATCCACAAACCGAACATGCATTCGACACAGTTCACTACAATCATTTTAGAGATTTGTGACATTTTCAAAGAAAATAGACATGAGTAGGTATATTATACGTATGTTAGAAACGTATCTATCCAGACAAAATAATAAATTGTTTGAGCGCAATGGATACGTATTTA